CATTTATGGTTTGATTTCTTTGTATGTATGGATCACTTGGGTTGTTACCGACATCTGGTGAACATTTCATGTCATTAGCACCTCTAGTAAAATATTTACTGAGAAAAATGGTGACGTGTTCAATACTTATTTTACCTGCTGTATAAACACTGAAACTGTGTGCTAAAGTTATGTGTTGTCGGTATACAGTACAYGTGGAAGGGCTGGTCTTACCAGGATGAAGAGGCTCTGGTTGGCAAACTTCTGGTGTTCGGGGATGGTTGAGAACACAGATAATACCAAGCAGCTGAACACGAGCAGAAAACTGAAACACAAAATAATCCCACAAAGTTCATTAACTCCCTTAAAGCAAACGGACTAAATAGTCATTAAAAACAAGCACACTTCAATTTCTGCATGACCAACCAACAGAGAAGTTTCCACCCTGTAAATGAGCAGGGAGAGGATTGTTGATCCATAACACAAACCAAAAATGTTTCTAATTTTTTTGGGGGGGGATTGTTGACATTATAAAAAGAAAAAAAAGTTATTGCCAGCTAGTTCAGTTTTAAAATAAACAGTTCAAAAATGGCTGGTGTTATTTTGTCCCATTCCAAACAAAAAGAGTGGAGCTCAGCAGTTCAGCCGGGATGGAAATTATTGTCTGACAGAAGTAATGGCCACTTCAGTTTCAGTGCTTCCACAGAATGAAACAACATAAATTCAGAATAATTATACTTTGTGTTTAAGGTGCTCTTATGTTACTTTAAACATCTCATTTTTTCYAGAAATGATTTAAAATGTGGGGAAGACAGAGCTTGGCAAACTTTATTTCATTCAAAATGAGGCAAAGGGCCAGGTTAGATACTTTCAGAGCACCATAAAAAAAAAAGCCTAATAAAACCCACGCACTGTACTTCCTGTTTACACTGTAGGATAAATTTAGAGGTAAAAATTGTTGCCAAACCACACGAACACAAGGTGCTTCCAGTAACACGTGAAGGCAGGATTAGCTGCTGGTTCCATTGGACAACGTGTAACAAGCTCAAGGTTGGGCCCAGCACAAGTTCACAAGACCTCACACAATGGTGCCTTTTCTTTTTCATTAGTAATAGGATCAACATGGCTCACACAAACCTAACGAGCATGAAATAAAATGCCTTTAAGGCACACATGATAAAAAAGTTGTTTTATGCCTTAATTATGGAGAAGCATAAGTGAATCCATGCAAATTGTTGTTTGAGTTGGTGTTTTAAGTTTAGCTTTGTTTTTTGTTGGTTTTCAGTTGTTTTGATTTTTGCTGTAATTTTCTTTCATTTTGAACATATTCTGGGGATAAAAAAGGGGGCAGATATTATAAGAATTATTCTTTTTCTGCTGCCTTTCATTTTATTTGATTTCATTTTTTGCATGTTTTTTTTCTTTGTTGTGTACAAAATTGTTACAAATAAAA